TTGCGCAGCGAGAACACAACCAATACAGCTTTCTGAGCGACACTCGTTTCGCACATCGTATGCCCCCACTGAACAACAGCATCGACTGTCGGACGTGCGCTCGGGCCGTGACTCAACAACTTGCTGAGCATGTCTAGAATTTCAGGACATATCTTTGCGCCGCGGAGATCAGTAGAAAGCTTCCTGTCTTGGGCATCATGAACAATGATGTACCTTTCCATTGTCGTCCAAAGCAATCGTGGCACAGCTCACTAGATCATCCGTGTACACGTACATGTCCGTCTCAACAATTTACTTTTATCTGCGACTTGTGTTGGGCTTGCGCAAGATACGTGGCAACACCAGCAGGTTCGATATTGCTTTCCAACATGTTCGACCACATCGACATTGACAAAGGAGTGTTCCGCAGACCATTGAAACCGTGACCTTGTTAAGAATAATCGAGACTTGTCACGACATTCAGGCTGCTTGGCGTCTGCAACGTCGCGCAATAAGCCGAATCCCCCCAGCATAGTCTCATTTCTCTCTCCACGTCAGCAACAAAGACATTCGCTGGCTTCAGATCACGATCTATCAGTCTGCACGAATGAACGTGCATAAGTGCACTCGCAATCTACATAAAGATCTTCAACAGTATGGACAGCTCCATCGTGCAGCTTGGAACTGATGGACATTCCGCCAAGTTGCGGACAGCACAGTGCGGTATCTTAATGTACAGCCAGTGATCTCCCGTTCTTCTACCGCGCTGCGAGAAGAGTCCTCGTCGCTACTATGAGCAGCCGGTGAGACCACTCGAGGTGGAAGGCAGCTCATAGGCGGATCGTATGACACGACCAGCTCCTCTTCCTTTCAATCACCACCACCTTCGATACTAGAAGTTCCCGTTCTTAGACAAACTCACCATTATTAACAATGCCGCAGATCATTCCTCCATTAAAAACGAACCTCTTGAGCTGGCGTTGGTTTCCTGAGAGATTGACGCTGAAGTTGGTGCTGGGCGATTGTGCTGTCGAGAGGTTTTTGCAATAGCGAGACCACGAACTGAGCTCGTGTTTGGAGCAACCGAAGATACTATCAACGTCTCCTTTGTGCACATTACTACGAATTGGACCAAAAGACTGTAGGGTTTAACGATCAACTGGCAATGCGTAGACAGCGAGCGACATTGTTCGTAGGTCAGAAACAGGTCTTTTGATACGTTGGACAAGACGAATGCAACAATAAAGTATGGGAACGTGTACCCTGCATCTTGTTGACAGCGCAAATAATTATTACTTCCACATGCCTACGTCTCGTAGCATATATGGCTGGCCCAAATATTCTGTCAAAACGAGCACGTTGCTCGCCAGGACACTTGAACACAATCATTAAATAAGTTTCTAGCTGCTATCCTCGTGTATATCATCCTATTGCCATCTACCACCCGATGTCATAAAGTTCGTCGCTCTTGATTAATTTATAAAGTTTATGGCTGTGGCAGTCTAGTGATGTTTTAGTTGACATGTGGACTCTGGTAAGACGAACATGCATTAATCCCTTCGGGATTCATCCCATAATTAAATGTATGAACGTGCAGGTCTGTCTCGAATCTACATTTGTATAATGTAGATCACATCGTCGTGCATCGAAGAAGATTGTATTATTTTTGGAACTCTTGGTGGTACTGTCATTTAACTGCGTCGACTTGAAGTTTCGACTGTTTATGATGCTGGGTTTGCAGCAGTCATGACATCAGTAGAGGACATCCCAGGCGGCGTTCTCCATGCTGAGAGCAGGTTAAACGAGTCTTCGGCGTTCAAAAAATAAGGGTTTGGATCTCTTGTGACACTACTTGTTAACTTGCTGTCTTGGCGGACGAGAAAATGAACTACGAAATGCGTATCACCCGCAACGGAGTTTTCGCCAAATTGTATACTTGACTTCTGATTCCTGAACGTCAAAAAAGTGACCATTCGTTTGTATAGGAAGGAGAAATTAGAACTCATTGCCTCGAGCACAGAATATATATATCTTTGCACCACATGCTTCTGCTGCGAGTCGCTACTTGTATACCGATTACGTGGAGTTCTCGTTGTGACCCGCATCGATGAGGTTTTTTTCTACCTTAGCAACCGCTTCCTGATGGTAATATCTGACCTCGAAGCTGTCGAAACGACGTGGGATCTTGAAGCCCTTGCTTAAAATAGGCTGTACAACAAGACCATAGTTGATATTTGCAAGTTGCCACGACGCAATGCTATGGTTTTTGATCATACAATTTTTGCGCAGTATCCTCGGTCATCCAAGGTGCTGCTCTGGTATGTAATTGAGAGCCCACCAACGTGTTCAATTGGTATTATTTGTGGTCATCAACAATACACTGGACATTTATACTTGACTTTTTGCATTCTTTCTTGTTTGACAAAATCAAGACGTATTGCGTTAGTGAATGAGTGATGTGTAATACCTCCCTTTAAAACACAATTATGACATATTGAAAACCATTTTCACCACGGCGATGGATATGCCTCTTAACAGAAGAGCCATACGGAAATGCAGTCTAGGATAGCTGGCTACCACCGAATGCTGCCATCGTTTAGCATAAGACACTCTTGTATTTTAAATTCTTTTCTTATGCATCCGACATTAACCTGTATTTCCATTCAAAATCAACATAGCATTTCGACGCAACAGCTTTATTTCAGCTGCCGTATAAACGCTCGTACTAAATTACCTATCACAAGTGTTCATGCGCTAAGTTCTGTGGACCGAAGGCTAATGTCGACAAGCAGTCTAGCGGGATTGTGGAGAGTCCACGATGAATGCCTCTCTTATTGAGGGTGCGTTACCGTACCGCTATTAGCGGAAGTTAAGAAGCAGCCTTAATGAGGTCAAGCGCTGTCAGTTGAAACATATTTTTACTCATCGTTTGAAATCTTCGATCAGAATGTGTCAGCATCGAATTTTTTCGAGCCCCTTGTGATCCTTTTGCTTATTTGAGACATATTGACGAACGCATACGACCAGCAATACCCTGTCCTAAAACATCGCGAAACAGCGTTGCTATCTCTTGCAGCTTCTAGTGCAACAGTGTGAATAGCAGACTTTGACCACCGTTTGACGGTCATCTAACGACGGATACCCGATTGATCGTCGCCGGCGATCGATGCCTTAAGCCAAAAACTGACTTTCTGTTGAAGGTGTTGTTCAAGCTTTCAAGTGATGTACCGGGCGCCATCGCAGCAATCGATACACGGTCAGTCATCGTATTAAATTCTCGGGAGATGTGGGCTATAATTTGGTTGTGAGACTTATCAGTGAGTGCCCGCCAGTGCGGTTCCTAGTATTTGGTACTGTCGTAGCAGTATGAGAACCAGTAAAATATCCCTTTTCACCCAGTACGTAGAGCTACTGTTTTTGTCGAGTGCTTTCGTGCTGACACATGCAGGGTTGCCGATAACAGGCCTTTTAAGAACGCGTTCTTCATTTTTTACGTGCTCACGAACCAAGCCTCAGCGACGTTCGTAACGTCGCAAAGGGCAGATTTTGTTGGATAAGTCTCCATTGCCTACGTACTCTGACCGTCAATACCGATGTACATCTCGATAGGAATACTGGCAATATCTCACGATATTTTCTTCTTAAAAAACTCCCATTGTATCTTCATGTGCTACCACATTGTCATCCTCGGTACACGACACGATATGTATCATTTGTCGTATCGATGACCACAAAATCGCATCACCTCAACATTAAAGACGAGTCTTCCGGTTTCATCTTGATGCGCAGTATTCAAAGCCCAGTTGCGATCACTGAAGCCTCAAAGAACGACATTCGGTTGGCGTGTACATTCTGCATGGTAAGACGTACCATAAACAAGTATCTCGTGAATGTATCGCAATCAACATACTTATGCAACCAATGCGGGGTTTATAGAAGCTGGTCACAAATAGGCCCTTATGACCGACTATGCATGCGAAGTCGGACCGCGATCGCATCGTCAGGTACACGAGCATTACCAACACATCATGAGAGTTGGAAATGAAGCACATTGCACACACACACCATGCTTTGCTTTTTCTACAGAGATCCTGACTACGTGCATTTGCTCATGATCAAATTTCATCAGAATGACACACAAGCATACTCATTGCTGATCACAATGTCGCCTTGACTTGCCTGAACTTGGACACCAACATGCCCCTTCAGCTCGCCTTAAGACAAGAATATTGTACTGCAATACACGCTTTGTAAGAATCAATCTCTACCGATATGTCGCTCGTCGTACACTAGATTTGTCGTCGACTTTTGCCAGTATTAGCACTACGGAACAATCCTTGCCAAGGCGATAGCGCAGGCACGTTTCCGTTGGGCACCTCAAACATATATTCTCAGTTACCCATTGTAAACCCATCCATCGCGAGGCTCAACGAAGCCAGCAGCCGTAATCTCACCCTTGGATAAGGATATACGCGGCAAGTCGAGAACGCAATCCCCTCCCCTACGGCTCCGACGACGAAGGGTTTCGCCGATAAAGCTGTCCCTTCTCTGGTGCTGAGACATAAACTACTGCCCTCCAACGCAGAAACACCAATTCTCTCTTTTTACAGTTGTATCCGGTAGTTCGCTACGACTTTTGATCTCTATCGCACAATCTCTTTTTGTGCTGTGAAGTACACAAAGTGATCGACGCCCACCCCAAAATTACAAGTTTAGGCCTCGCCAGATCCACCGCGCGACCGTATTCGCGACTTTCTTTTCGAAGTTGCGATTGGTGTATAATCGCCCCCGCATAGTTCTATCCAATCCACGCGCACGTCTCGCTTCCACACGGGGAACATCGTCGACCCTAATGTCACTTTTGTATCGCTTGCCCTTCCCCTCTTCCGGCACAGACACAGACACACTCGCCGAGTGACGCCCGCTCCCGTCGCTCCTGCGCGTCCACAGCACCACTTCGAGCAGCAGCAGACGCAGCAGCAGCAGCTGGAGGAGCCGCAGACGCAGCGTGTGGCCGCTGGATGATGCGAGACGTGAGTGCACGCTTTAAATACAGCGAGCGCGAGTTCCAAGCGCAGCACAACGCACACAGCTCAAGCTCCAGAACGAGCGAAAGTAACAGCAGCAGCAGCAGCAGTAGAAGCAGCAAGTTAGAGACAAAAGTGCCCGCTTCGGGGACCTCTGAGGCTGAAGAAGGTGGTGCTGCGCCGCCACTGGACGCTTGTCCGTCCCGAGAACTCATCCACAACCACATTAAACGGTACTATCGGCACGTGGATGGCGGATCTCAAGTGACGGCTGACTATGAGACTGTGCGACTTCGGATCTGCCGAGATTTGGCTCCGTATGCGATCCTCAAACTCGGTGGCTTCTCCTTGGGCGATGCTTGTACGAAACTGCTGGGAGATGTGCTGGCTCAGGACGCCTCGAAGCTGCGGACGCTGGATCTTGGCTTTAATCGAATCACTAATACTGGTGCGACGCAATTGGCAGAAGCACTGAAGACGAACACGTCGCTTGAGAACTTGTACCTCTCAGGAAATGATATTGGACCGGCAGGTGCTCGCGCTCTTGCGCAGGCGCTGCTTCAAAACACGCACCTGCGCAGTTTACACCTCAGTGGCAACAATATTGGCGAAGAAGGTGCTTGTTTCTTGGCAGATGGAATTGCTGGCAATACCGTACTGAGAGCGCTGTACTTGGGTACGAATGGAATTGGCGCTGCAGGCATGCGAAGTCTAGCTACAGCGCTGACACAAAACAAGTCACTTGAAGAGCTGACGCTAGGACAAAACAAGGTGGGAAGTGAAGGCGTGCGCTACTTGGCATCAGCTTTTGCTACAGGAGATGTGGCGCTGTTAACGTTGGAATTGGGAAAGAATGGCGTAGATCACGAAAGTACTCTTGCACTAGCCCGTTCGTTGTGCGGCGTGAATCGACTGCAGAACTTGTATATGGATCACAACCCGCTTGGGGATGTGGGGGCGAGTGCTTTTGGAGCCCTGCTTGTCCAGAATACCGAGCTGCGGGTACTTGATTTGAGCTACACGCACATGTCTCTGTTGGGGTTGCGTGAGCTCAGTGTTGTGGGATTGGCCCGCAGTCGTGCGCTGCTCTGTCTGCTCGTGGATGGTCACGACTGGGCGAGCACTAAGTACATGAAAAGGAACCAGCATACGAGTTTAATTGGAGCATCGCTGGCGACCGAGGGTGCTAACAATTACGCTGCGTCATGTGTCGTGGGAGCAATTAACATGAATGCAAACTCGGTGTTGTTCAAGCTCACTGGTGTGGAACTGAGTCTCGTGGTGCCTCTACCTTCACCATCTACTCCTAATGATGGCAACAGGAAACGCGATGCTGTATCCCGCAATGAGTTGGTACTGAAGAGTCTTCACAATAAACGTGCCGTAAAACAAGCTGCAGCTGCACTATCAAGAATACCGCCAAACCACAAGCGGAAAACCACAGAGGAGGTTTGTAACGCAGCAGCGGAAAAGCCAAGAGCAGATGGCGTAACATCAGGTGCAGAGACCGATACTGGTAAGCACTCGCTTTCGGTGGTGCAACACCCTAAATTCCAGAGGCTTGAAGGCAACATCAAGTCGCGTTCATCGTCAGGCAGTATTAGCAGCCTTAACGTAAGTGGAAGTGGCGGTCGCTCGCGGTCAGGAAGTGCCAATGCACTGTTTGGACTGCTGCCCCCTCCCCACTATGGGCCCAGCGGTGGTACATCCTGCTCACCAGGAAGCAGTAGGGGTAGCTCTCCATCCAAGACGAGTTACAACCGACCGCCGCGTGTGATTCGGATCCCGTCTCGTGGCTCAGTGGGTCACCTTCCGCGGTCAAGCGGCTCTTACGAAATGCGGCTGTCGCTAAAAAGTCCACGCTACGAGAGCACAATGGAGCTGAACGCCCATAAGGTGATTGCCGACATTTCAAAGCTGCCATTTGATGCCGACGAGTTTGATACGCTTCAAGCGTATTACCTGGGAGGCCGGTGCATAGCTGGGTTGAATGGGTGCCGAAACCGAGATGTTGACGACGTGACAGGCGAGCAAACACTTTGTCCCGCTTGTAAATCTAGTCGATTGGCAAGTTATCGCCGCACGATGGTACGATCGATTCTCGTTACTTTTTATTTGCGTGTACCGCTGACGTGATTGTGATTTGTTGTCCATCCGCAGGCGCTCATAACACGGCTCGAAGCCACGAAACAGGTGACAGACAGCGTTTTGTTAGTGCTGCTGCGCCAGCTACACTACCTCGCCAATGCCTTTCAAAATGTCGAAAATGCTATTCAAGCCATCGATGACATTCTCGTGTCAGCTCATGAGGGGACAGATGAACCGCAGCACGTCTCCAACAACACGCTTGTGTTCTCACATGAGGGAGCTAGCCAGCACACCCAATAGACCGCGAGGCAAGTCGTCTTGTTTGCAGCAGGTCTGTTGGATCGGAACGTTTATGCAACGCGTGCCAATCCGACAGCCAGCCAGACAGCGTTTGCCTGGAGCATAGGAGAGTATTTATCAGTAGACAGCACGTTTCCACCCGCATCAATGTTAGGCCCCATTCCGCTTGTAATTAGCAAGTATATTTCTTGGTCGTACAGGAGTTTTTTTCATAATTTTCAAGACCTTAAGCGAACATCTTTTCGCCATCTCGTCTCAGTTGTCCTATCGTCCGTGCTCTAACATCTTTTCCACCAATCCCCGTCCATCCTCATCCTCCCACTTCCTCCAGCGTGAACGGTCGATGATCTCACAATCCAATTGACCACTTGACCGACAGCCCGCGCCAAGAAGAGACGACGACGACGACGGACATGAGCAGCGGGAGCGTGTTGGACAAGACGCCGCGCGTGGCCGAAGAGACCGCGAAGTACCCGCGCACCGAGCGTCTAGGCGAGTTGACGTACGGCACCTCCGGGTTCCGTGAAGACGCGGGTCTGTTGGTGTCCACGTGTCACCGCATGGGGATGCTGGCGGTTCTGCGCTCCAAGAGCGTGGGGAAGATCGTGGGCGTGATGATCACGGCCTCGCACAACGGCGCGAGTGACAACGGGATCAAGATCATTGATCCCAAGGGCGATATGCTGCACTACGAGTGGGAGAAGTACGCGATGCAACTGGCTAATGCCGCACAAGAAGCGGTTGTTGAAGTGCTGGACGCGATCGTCGCGGCGGAGAAGATCGACTTGGACCAGACGGGCAACGTCTTTATTGCAAAGGACACGAGGCCGTCGAGTGAACACTTGGCCGAGCTGACGCGCGAGGGGGCGCTCGTGATTGGTGGGAACGTGCTCGACTTTGGGCTACAGACGACGCCGCAGCTGCACCATCTCGTCCGCATGGTACTGGGTGGATCTCAATTTTTGATTGCAGTGGATTGACGATCTTTGAGGGGTTGTCTGATCTGTTCCTGGGGGTGCCTTTGTCTTGTCTAGTGGAACTACGAACAGTTCAATAAAGGCGACTGGGCGTCCGAAGTTGGCTACTATAACATGTTGAGCGACGCTTTTAAGCAGCTCACAGCCACGCACGACTCGAAGGTGTAATTTACGTTTGCAACTGAAGTTGGTGGTAATTGATTGTACTGGACTGACGCTGTCTTGTGTGGCTATAGCGCTTGGAGGCGCGGCCGCCACTGTATGTGGACTGTGCACATGGTGTTGGTGCGCTACAAGTGGCTAAAATGGCTAAGGACCTCGGAGATTCGCTTCGTCTGGAGATCGTCAACACGCCCAGTGATGGTGAACTGAACCTTCACTGCGGTGCGGAGCATGTCGAGAAGTCTCGTCAGCCGCCTTCGAACATGTCCCAGGAAAATGACCGCGGCAAGCGTTACTGCAGCATGGACGGGGACGGTGACCGTTTGGTTTTCCATTACTTTGATGAAGAAGGCACGTGGCATTTACTGGACGGCAACAAGATTGCGTGCCTCTTTGCCGAGTTCTTATCGGAGAAGCTGAACGCTTTAGAGCTTGACCAGGAGGGCGTGACTTTCGGCTGTGTGATGACTGCCTACGCGAACGGCGCTGCTACTCAGTACCTCCAAGCCCTAGGCATTAACGTGGTGCAGGCCAAGACTGGCGTGAAACACTGTCACGAGAAGGCATCGCAGTTTGACATGGCGGTCTACTTTGAGGCCAACGGGCACGGCACGGTAGTCTTCAAGGAAGCGCTAATGGACAAGCTGCACAAGTGGGAGAACACGCTGCACGATGAGCGGAAGAAGCTTGCTCTGTCGCAGCTGCTTGCTGCGTCGCAGCTTGTAAACCAGGCTACGGGTGACGCCATTTGCGACCTGTTGTTCGTCGAAGCACTGCTCGTCCAGAAGAATTGGAGCATCAGCGACTGGGACGCCATCTACAATGACCTGCCAAGTCGTCAGACGAAGGTGAAGGTCGCAGACCGAAGTGTGATCAAGTCGGACGAAGAGGATGATTCCAAGGTGCTGGCCCCTGAGAGTCTGTGCTCGGCTTTGGACTCTGCTTTGCAGGAGTACGCCGACAAGCGCAGCCGAGCGTTTGTCCGTCCATCGGGCACTGAGGATGCAGTGCGTGTGTATGCCGAAGCAGACACCCAGCAGGATGCCGACGCCCTCGCCTTGCAGTTTGCCAAGCTGGTGCACGAACACTGCGGCGGTGTGGGTGACGAACCCACTGAATTTGTGGCATAGGCGATGATGGCAGGCAAGTGTTGGCGACTGCCATGTTGCAGAAGATGCTCTGAAACATGTCCACTTCGACCGAGTCACGCATAGCGGATCGCGGACAACAGATGACGTCATCATGTCGGGTAAATCATAATTTATCCGAGTCAACAGTTGTGCTTGAGAGTTTACCGATTGGTGACAGGCGTCTATTTGACTCTGAGTTTGTTTACGGATGAAAAGATCAAGCACGACAAGATCACCGATGCAAAGATGACTACCACGGTAGTCACAACAGTCAAGTTAGCGTTGGGGAGACCGAGCGACGGTAGAAAGCGTACAAAGGATTAGCACGGCAGAGTGTACCGTCAGTTTGGCACTCCTGCAACGTCTGACATGTCATCAGGGACAGTATCCTCGAGTTACTTCACATCATGACGCAGTCATCGAGTATTCGAAGACTTGGGTGGCTTAACTTGCCCGTGATTGGTTGAAAGACCATCCTCACTGGATATTATCGCTTTTCCCAGCGCATTTCAGCAAAAGTGAGCTGCTCATTTGCCAAATCGACCTCGACAAGCTCCGAGTGCATCCGCTTGTCTCTCTTCCAATGCCCGTGTGTTCGACCTGTGGTACACACGCACCCGACGGTCGCTTCTGCTCTGAGTGTGGGGCCCCACTCACCATGAGCGAAGCAGCGCCGCCATTCCACCCAAAAGAGCAGCCGCCGCATCTGCCCCCGCACTTCCAAGAGCAAGTTTTCAACGAAGAGCGCGACCAGAAGAGTCTATTGTACCAACCACAGCAGCAAAAAGGCAACGTCCCTCCAGCCATTCCAGTTGTTTACGTGGAACAGAGTGGACCGTCTTATGACGGCAACTTGCCGTCCGCGGCCCCCGTCTCGTCCAGTGCAGAGACGAATAGCGGTAGTCGCTTGCCATCGGCCAATGGAGGGGCTGGAATGTTCAAGGGACGGTACTCGGACCACCCGAACTGTGACATTTGTGGATTGGCCTTTGACGTCACGAAGCGGCGACACCAGTGGTACGGTGTTTTTTGTAGCTATGGTTTTGTTGTGTCTAAAAGGAGAGGAACTAAATTGGGTGTCTCATGTGTGTTGCAGTCGCGCCTGTGGTCGCTACATTTGTGGCAATTGCTCGCCATTAATGCTTCTGATTCCGGAAGGGCATCAGATTGATGGGGCAAGGGGCTACGATCCATCCATTCCGCAGCGTGCGTGTTTGCACTGCGCGCCCAGTTTACATCCGCTACAAACAGATTTAGTAACGCGGTACGCCAAGGCGCATGCCGAAATGGTACCACATGAAGCCAAGTCTCGATTGCACGTGCCCTTTTCGCCCTCATTGGAGAAGGAGTGCACGAATGCAGCAGACATTATCGGCAATTTCTTTCGGAATGACTCGGGTGCATCTGGGGACCGATCGATTCCGATATCAATGCTGGAAAAAGCGCACGGTTTGGCCATTATGACGATCGTCAAGGCGGGGTTCTTCGTAGTTGGCAAGGTCGGTACGGGAATTGTACTGTCGCGTCTATCGGACGGGTCTTGGTCAGCGCCCTCGGCGATCGGCACGGTGGGACTTGGTGGTGGCTTTGAGTTTGGAGGAGAGATCGTAGAGGTTATGATTATTTTGGGCTCTCCAGCAGCTGTGCAGGTCTTTTACTCGCCGCAGGTGAACCTTGGTGCAGGCTTGGACGTTGCTGTCGGCATGTATGGCCGATCGGCAGCAGCCGCGGCAGCGATCAGTAGCACGGGGCTCAATGGTAACTACAGCTACTCTCTAAGCAAGGGTCTGTACGCTGGCATTTCGCTTCAAGGCTCTGTCATCTCAGCTCGCAATGATCTGAATCGAAAGTTTTACGGGCAGGATCTGGAACCGAGCGAGTTACTTTGCGGGACTGTGGGCCAACCTGTGGCTGCAAAGCCGCTCTATGATGCACTTGACCGTGCCATGCGCGGGGTGGTGGAGCATAAGCAAGTACTTGCCGAGCGGTCTCGTATGATGGGATCGTGCCGCGCCTGCAACTGCCAGATCTTTGAGACTCATATTCACCAGGTTTGGAACAAGAAATGCAAGACGTGCGACCATGTTCATTGAGATGTGGACCGCAGGATGATACAGGATTCAGACTCAACAAAGCAGGTTGCAGGTCTGCGCGAGGGGTCTGCGTCATGCACTTCGCTAGATGATGACAAAATAAATGCCTACGCCGCCCCTGTTCTGGTACATTTTGACGTAAGTCTTGAATTGCAGCAATAAGTTCGGACAAAAATTACGACCGCGTGCTCTCTTTGCCTCAGCTTCGCGCGCACGACGATCTTTTACTGGTCACAAGCTTGCACTGCGACATAATATAAAGACGTTCGCAAGCAACATTTTACAGCCAGGTCAGCATGAAAATCAAAAATGAACCCGAACTGCTTTGTTGGCCCATCGTCTTGAAGCTTGTCGATCAACACTAGTCCTCCTCGACACTGTTCAAGACAACACACTCGATCCTTGCTCTGTCACTGTCGACTGTAATTGATTAACCTCAAATAGATCGCTTAGCGCGATTCATTTAGCCATGGTATGTTCAAGGCTTTTGTGAGTATATCCGCATGCATATTCACAGTCTCTATGTGATTGACTATAAAATAAACGCTTAGTGAAATTACCGACAAACTTGGTGCGATTACGAAAATGTTTAGCCGTAGCAGATGCGCTTTCACCGTCAAATTGCTTCGAAGCTGCTTCATTATCGATTCGCAGTGGAATCAGTTCAATAAATTCACATTTATTCTTTGCAAAAGTTCGCAAACATTCAGTTATATTCGAGTTTTAATTGATGCAGCAATAAATTCGGCTTCCGTGGTCGCAAGTGACTTTTCACCTTGTTTCTGCGTATCCATCTCTCGGCATGTCGTGCATCGTGATCGAATCGAAAGTGAAAGACTTTCTGTCGTCCTTTATGGCAACGAAATCTGCATCACTGTTTCCGATTACCACATTAGTCAAGAAAAAGCACAACGTTGACCAAGTGGTCATGAAAAGCACAACGTTTTTGTGCCTGACAGGTACCTGGCAACTTTCTTAGCCAATTCGCGATATTTCATTGTAAGCTGGTGGGTCCGTCTTGACGCTTTGTGCACTGCAAATGCGATGTCCGGTCTGGTGCATGGTGAATTCCATTGTAACTTTCCAACAAGTGACTGAAACAATTTTTGCAGTGACCACACTATCTCCTCCAGGTACTGGTAAAGGTAAAGTACTTTGATATGTCGATCACATTCCAGTTTTGAGTAATGGGTGCATATACGCCATGCCGCAAATCGAGACCGTGTTCTTGGAGCCTGCCTGCACTACACAATTCTAAACACCAATATTTACCCATTTTTTCTTCGTCATCTTGGACACGCATACATCAACTTATGATCACGTCCTAGATCCTTGACCTAAAGCGAAATTCAGTCTTCAAAATTAACTAAGAACTCGGTTCGGTTCCCGTAATCAGTAGGTCATCCACGTATATTCCGACAATAAAAAAGCGATCATGTGCTCACTAAAGTGCATGAAGCTGTAATACTATACAGACTTTGGAATGAAGTGCTGCACCATAAGTTGAAAGCCCATCTCGATCAACTTATGGTGCAGCACTTCATCCCAAAGTCTTCCTTCTTGATCCAGCTCAACTATGCATCTTTCAGCTGCTACGCAATTTCGCCTTGACGTTATTATCTTCGCATATCGTCAATCCGCATTCCCTGCCAAACTTGGATGTCAATGTCGATGACTTCTTCCTTGTCCGCTTTCACATAAGCATTCGGCACATCACAGTGCTTCATAGGAACGCTCCATTATTTTACTAAAGCTAAATTTGGTGTAAAGCTTAACAAGCATAATAAAATTTGCACTAAACGCACTCGCGAACAGATTTGCTGACTTTATGGTAATTACAGGACTTAATGCAATGTGTCTGCAGTGTACTAACGCCTTTTTAGAGCACGACTCCTATGCCAACACCAAAAGTATCACCATCCTATTTCCTCTGTTACCAAGTAGGTGCGGTTTATACCCGCCTTCCTCCGAAGTTAGTCCATCACATTAAATAGCTTCTACATCGGTAAATAAATCATAGTGCGTTACGTTTTAAGTCCGTCGCTTACCAGAGAATTCGTTATAATGTCGAATGGGTAAAATTGGTCTTGACATTTCAAAAGTCCACACTTTTTTCGCCACATTGTATATGTAATAATCCGTGCGCTTTGGAGGCAAGTTTAGAAGTGTATAAATCAAAATAATGTGCATGCTATTCGTTTTGGTGCCCCAGTGTGTCTCCTATGCTAGCTTTTGTGCAACCACCTGTAGCTCTGGGGTGGTGGGTGTTTTGTGAACCCCAACGCATGAAGAGGTCGCTATTTTTTTCAGTACTAAAAAAGCTGAAGTTTCAGGAATGTGCAACGTAATAATCCACAACAGTATCAGACGTAATTTCATCAAAGCTCAACGTGCCATACATATTATGCGACTGTAGGATAAACTAGTTGCTATTACAAAAGCGTTTTGTTTGAATATACCGACATAATTTTGTTTAATTCGGAAAGCACTTTTATTTGACGTCACGTAGTTCTTGGCCTTCCAAACAATCTTCACACACGGCGACAATTATCGCCTGTGCAGTTGATTGATATCCGATTATCTGATGTTTATAAGTCCACGAAATCGCTTACTCGGTAAGGCATAGCACAAAACCAGTGATCGACTTACGCGTTTTGGGGCCGTTTTCTTGATCAGAATAAAATAGACATTAATAAGTAGTCTTGTTTTATCCTCTGCTCTGCTTCGAGATTACACGATGCTATGACGCTTGGTACCAATTTAGTACCGTAGTAACCTTTTTTGCAGTACCATATGCTGATGCGTTCTACTTTGACCAAAGCGGCTAAGCTGTCCGACAGAAAATGCGAGATCCGGTCTATGTATATCGTCAGATACCTGATCGATTTGACAAAGCTTACTATATGGAAATAATTTGCCTTTCGTAAGAAGTTTATTCAGCCGACCCCTATATGTCCTCCTTAATAGTTAGATGCATGTCTGTTTCCACTGGAATTTAGCTTAAGTTATCTTGACATAAGACAAGCATTTAATAATCCCATTGCAATAATTTGCCTTGAGGATCTTGGTTGCATCACTCTATTGCTCAACCTGCACGTCCAATATGTGTCAAGTAGACCTTGGTTCTTGCCCTCGTAATCTTTGTTTTGCCTTTTGAGTTTTTTCTTGAACTACGCTTTGTCAACAAGGTAAAAAATGCCATCCACATCAAGGAGAATGGTCGCAAATTAAAAGCCATCACGGCCATATAGGTAAATCACGGTTCCTTCTTACCACGCTGACTGAATCTGTATCGGGGCACCCTGAAGCTTGTACTGGTGACAGTACAAGCTACTTATTCTCATGACAGAATAAGGCGGTGCCTCGTAACTTCACGTACACTCGTACGTGCAGAGGAAGACGGTAAGAAGAAGCGAGTACTTGGTTAAAGTAAAAAGTAGAACTGTATTTATAATAGTTAATGTCTGCAATAAATCCCTATTTGTCTTCATCTAACTATGTCTAAATACAAATGTGTAAATCATTTATCTGCTCACCACTCATTGCGTGCGTCTGTCGTGGCGCGTCTTCGTTGGTTGATATAATGGCCAATATCAACCAATTAGGAACTACTCGTAAGTGCTACAGAATATTCGTCCTTATGACAATATTCTGAGAACATAACTCTTACAGTTATATTCTATTAACAATTTCTTATAAATTGTTATGTAACGATTCACCCCGTTACATCACCCCTCTTAACCATCAGTCACTTTAGTGACTGATTGACTAAATGGATACTCGTCCCAAATCAGTTGGGACGGGGTTTGCACTTGTTGGTCCGAGTCCACTTTCCAACATTTCATCGCATGGTAAACAAGCCCATGCGATGCGCGAGCAAGGCCGCCGAGAGCGCGTCTACACGTCTCTGTGCGGACGCCGAAGCAGAAACAACAGCAACTGATGTCTCATCGGTTGCTGAAGCGACTCAGCCTGTGTCACTTGGTGATGCAGGCGCTGGTCATGAAGACACTCATGTCTTCACAGAGTACGAGCTCGGTGTCTCATACTCTCCTGATATGGAAGACGGATCCGTATCGACGGCGATTGAATCCAAGCCGCCTGCCAAGCGTGGCATGGATGATGCTATGCGTCGCAGCATCTTTAGTTCATCTGATGAATCAGATGAACCATCGCCGAAGCGTAGGCGCTCGAGGTCGCGAGACTCGGGCGCTAACAGTGGTGTCGGTTCTCCTATGGACACCACTTCGCAACGAGGTGCCAGTACTTCTGTCGGCACATCGCAGGAAGAGCGGGATCGCAATGTCTTGTGTCTCGCTCCCGAGAAGAAGGCATGGATGCCTCCAAAATCTGTCATGGATCACTTGTCGGCGACGACAAGTGATCGTTATCGAACACAATTGTTCGATTCGTCAAGGATCCATCACATTGACCCCAGCGCGAAGAACTATCGCGCTGAGAATGAATTCTTCATCGATGCTTTCTTTAGACATCGATGGTACAGTGGGAATCACAAGCGTGATGGTCCCTCACTGCTTCAGGCGTGGAACGCCTACATCCATAACCTTGAGGATGTAGGTCGTGACGCTTGGAACGACAAACTTATCAAAGCTCGTGATAAGTTTGAAAAGCGAACCCCGACAGGTGCACGCTACAAGCTGCATCGTCTGTCAAGGGAGAAGGGATTACCCTGCCTCTCATGGGGAGACTCGTGCCCATGTTGTGTGAACAACTCTGCACGAGCACCTAAGGAGGCTTACCTCCTTACCAACCCGTGGTGGCGCGTACGTATCTCTACTGAGATGTACGAAGGGATTGACAACCTGAAATCCCTTTACGACCGTGCCGGGAAGACTTTCTCCGGCCTTCCTTCTGCGGCACAGGATGTGCCGCGTCGTACTGCTCAACCAAACCCATTACGTCAATCATCAGTTGGGAACGGGGCTCCCAAGTATCCCAGGACGGGGGATAACCGCGCCACCGGACGAGATAACTCGTCCGACGTCCGTTCACGTCGCGGTGGTTCAACAGCTGCTCAACTAGATAGCGCTGGCCACCGCGAGAGTCCTCTAATGGAGGTGGAGGAGGAGGGAAGACGCTCTCCACACGATCATGGGGATCCGTGTGTTCCCGAGAGCTTCTTCTATCGCGTAACGCAAGGGTTACGCAACGATCTCGAACATGAGGGGGACAGGCGTCTCCAAATGGCGGACACTGTCTCGAAGCATCGAGCTGAGTTTGCCTTTGCTCAGCTTGAGAACGAGAGGGCTCTGACATCTCTTCGTGACGAGCTAAGGGTAGCTCGTGGGATTGTTGATCGGTCTCGGGATGAGATAACTGCTCTTCAGACCCTTGTCGATGCCCACCATCGGGAGCACAAGGCTCTCTGCGAGATGCTTGAGCGCAAGGGCGTTCTTCATCGGAAGAAGTAGCGTCCTGATGGTACGGCTTAAGCGGACCAACGTAAAACGTGGGATGCGTTCGCATCTTACGTGGCAACTCGATCGTGTATGCATTGCCTAGGCGGTGCAACACACAAAATGGGCCGATGTACTTGGGAAGTAGTTTACTGCTACCCAAGTTAGTCACTACATGCTTTGGTAGATTAACCGTAGACAGTAGGACTAAGTCACCTTTATTAAATAAAAGAGTGTTTGCCCTTCCATTCTTATCAGCGTTTTGCTTTTGCTTATCCACCGCTTCGGCGATGGAGTCTTGCACAAAACGGACTACCGTTTTATGAGCCAGTATGAACTCATCTGATGACTCGTTAGCTTCAGTGTGCTGTGAGCGCACTGCAGCAACATCAACCTTTTCTTCAGTGAGGGCTTCCGCACTCTCACTGGGATCATCTACTTCGATATCGATGTTATCGATGTCGGCATCAAACGCAATGACCTCTTCGTCAGAGCGTGATGAGCGTGAACCAAATCGGTTTTTGCTCGCGCGAGTCCCTCCCCCCTTAAACCAGAGTTACACTTTAATAAGGTGGGTACACGCGGATGGCACAAGCCATTCACGTAAAATGGTGTATGTGTCGTGGACGCATGCACCGAGTTGTTAATGGCAAACTCTGCCATTGGCAAAAACTCACTCCAACTCTTAAAGGAGTGTACGTATCCTCGAAGGATCTCTTCAAGGACACGATTGGCACGTTCCGTCTGACCATCGGACTCTGGATGATCAGATGTCGACATCTTCAAGCGCGTTCCGAGTGATTTGAACACGGAACGCCAGAAATCAGCAGTAAATCGTGGATCTCAGTCTGAAACGAGTACACGGGGCAACCCATGAAGTCGGAAGATGGTGTCAATAAAGACACAAGCACAGCCACTAGCCGTGATTGACTCGGGTACAGCCACAAGGTGTACCATTTTGCTGAATCTGTCAACAAATACGAGAATACCCGTATTCCCGCGTGCGTCTTTGGGTAACTCGAAGACGAAATCCATTAAGATTAATTACCAGCACTCTGCCGGAACTGCTAGAGGCTGTAAAGGTGCACGCAGTGAAGGACTTGACTTCACTCGTTGGCAGACTTCGCATGCGCGAACATACTTTCGCACAAACTGATACTGGCGGGGCCAGTAAAAGTCTCGACTCACCTTGAGATATGTTTTCTCCCGGCCACTATGTCCTCCTATAGAAGCATCGTGATACTCGAACATGATCCGAAAACGCAGATCAGTATCTTCTGGAATGACAACACGTGGTGTGTCACCAGAAACGGCTGTATAGTACAGTAACCCGTTGCGAGTAGTGTATCGATCTGATGCAGATCGATACGCAGGCGACAATCGTTTCAACGATTCTCGAGATGGTTGGGAGAGATGTGTCAACAACTTCACAATCTCACCATCTTGGGCGTATGCCCGCCTCACATCATCATACAACGTTGTAGATGGGACTGAGGACGTCATAACCGCAACAGTGACTGTCTCACTGTTGGGCTTCACGACTGGTTCAAAGTCGGGACGACGTGAGAGTGCATCAGCGACGACATTGAGTCGTCCTGGTTTGTACTCGACCGTAAAGTTGTATTCTGCAAAGAATGACAACCACCGCGCCATTCGTTGTGAAAGGTGCGGGCTGTTCACTGCCGTGCGTAATGACGCATGGTCAGTGTAAACAATGAAGGGTCTATCTCCTAATAGATAGACTCTGAACTTCACGAGTGTATACTTCATGGCAAGGAGTTCCTTGTCATGCACTGGATAGCTCCGCTCAGCTGGTTGCAGCTGACGCGACTGATAGCAGACGACGCGTTCAACGCCTTCTAGGTCGTACTGCATTAATGCACAGCCGATTGCAAAATCGCTGGCATCACAGACCACATGAAATGGCCTGTCCTGATCGGCTATTGCTAGGACTGGGGATAGTATCAAGCTCTGCTTGATACCATCAAAGGAGCGCTGACATTCAGCGTTCCATAACCACCTCTCGTTCTTTTTCAACAAACGAGAGAGGTGTACAGTCATCTCGGCGTAATTGCTTGAATACTTATGCAAATACGCCGCTATCCCAAGGAATTTTTGAAGACCTTTGACATCAACCGGCACAGGCCAGTCGGTGATCGCCTTGATCTTTTCGGGATCAGGACGTACACCGTTCTTACCAACGATGCACCCAAGAAGTGGTATTTTGCTTACTGCAAATATACACTTCTTGAGGTTTGCATACAATTGATGCTTTCGCATGATTGTAAGGACCTGTCGGACGTGGTACCTGTGAACCTCAACGTTTGACTTTCCATCCACAGCTCGACTATGGATGAATGCGTCATCGAAATAACTCGGCGCGAATTCTCGTACTGGTCTCAACAGATGTGTATCACATCTGTTGAACGTGGCAGGGACATTACTAAGCCCTTGTGGCATTACTAGCCATTCCCAGAGCATGCCGCTAGGCGTGCTAACTTCGGTATAGGGTATATCCCGTTCTCGCATAAGGATTTGATAGAAGCCATCCATCAAATCCATGGACGAAAAGATGGTACTCTTTGACATACCATCACTGATTACGTCCTTCCTCGGTATCGGCGTCTGAGCCGGTACCGTTGCAGCATTCAACTTGTTAAATGCATGCACTATCCGCCACCCTCCTGTTGCTTTTCGCACATAGAAGGTCGGAGAGCTATGTGGGGAAGTTGATTCCCTCACATGGCCCGCAGCTAAACGATCGGCAAAGAACTTGTCGATCGCAAGTACTTGTTCACGAGGCAGTGGCCACTGCTTCATGACACAGTACTTCGAGCCTGGTTTAAGCTCGACCTTGTGTCGAATACCTTTATCCTTCGCACGGAACAGTTTCAGGGAATACATCCTTGAATTCAACCAAATCTTCATAGAGAGGATTTGTCTTGAGCGATTCCCACGATTGGGAGTCATATCGCTCAATTCGTGTCTTTTCATCTAGGACACTCTCGCCCATAGATGAACTACTGAGAACTCTCTCGTTCTCAGTAAACACTGTTGCTGACCTTATGTCGGTTACACACTCGTCGTCAGCGACGAGTACGCAAAATCTGCTTGACTTTGCCACTACGCAGATCACGCAAGAACCTTTTCTGTTCGAGCGTTGGCAACTAAGTGATCTCCGAAGTCAACTTCGGAGGCGCAATCAGATCAAGTGTATAAGCGCCTACGCTTGATCCGTTATTGACTAGGACATTTAATGTCTCTGTCATTTCCTGGGGACTTTTTTCCTCAGGCTTCGAAGGGCTTATTCCTTCGTCTTCCCGGGGACTTATTCCCGCGGGTTTCGGGGAACTTATTTCCGCCGTATTTGTAATCTTGGGACTTATTCCCTTTACTTCCTCTAGCTGGGGTTGCGCAACCACAGCGAGATCCTCTACGAAAGACTCTCCAGTCGATCTAGGATTATCGTTTCGCTTAACCTGAGCGATCGATTGTTTCTCTTCTAGATGTTCCCCGCTAGGGATACACCTTTGTCCCGGGCCACTCGACTTATTCGAGTGGTGGACCTTCGGCGCAGCCTGTGTTTCCTTACAGCCGCCGGAACTTTGCTCCGAAGTGTGACTTTTTGTTACACTAAGGTTTTGTGCAGTCGTACTAACGACAATACCACAAGTGAGACCATCGCACTCACCCGTAGTACATCCACACGCTTGTGGACGCTCCAAACGTTCATCAGATGGCCATCTGATGAACAAGCGGCAGGCATCGTTACTGTTCGATGTTGCCAGTTTACCCGTGGTTCGTACCTTCTGAGCCACGGTATTCCAAGGATGACATCAAATTTGTCATCCAAATCCAATACGATAAAGTCATCGTCATATTGGGTATCTTCTAGCTTGTAGTGGATCTTCACTATACGCTTCATGACGGTTACGGATGCGCCTGTCGCAAGACGTACCGTCATCCTCGTAGGAGGTGTGTCACATTCACTGAACTTAAAGTGATCATCTTCTAGCGATTGTCGTCGCACAAAATTGTTGGACGCCCCACAATCGACTAGAGCTCGAAGGGACAACTTATTCATCACTTCGAGTTTCAAGGTAACGAGTGAGATCTCATTACCTAGAGCAGCAACGCACAACGTTTGTGTGTTGGGAGCAACCTTCATCAAGAGGCCTACAAATTCTCTTGACGTTGCTGGACCAGTAGGGTGCTCCGCACCTACTGATCCTGTCCGTTTTTTGACGGTCCATCCCGTTGTTGCGTCTTTGCACCAACAGCGGACCCTCGTCCCTGCCCCTTTCTCATGGGTGGACGGTCACTACGCCCAGTGTTGCGAGACACTGGACGAGGGGCACTACACTCGTAAGCGTATTGTCCTGTCTTTTGACATCTGTTGCATCTCTGCAACTTCTTATAGTCTGTAGAGCGAGCCTTCTCGCTCTCTACATAACAGAGTTCCATCGGCTCTGGACCTCCGCTGTCATATCGTCTCGGTTGACGATATGATGTCGAGCTGGCGCGAGCCTGTCTCAGACTGAAGTCTTCCTGCTCCGCAATGGAAATGGCTTGTTCTAGTGAATCTAGTTCAAGACGGAACAGGTGAGTCTTGACGGGACCATCCGCAAGACCCTGCATGAACACCGAAACCAACGTGTGTTCATCCACCGGATTGGAACTTATACAACTCGTAAGATGTCGTATATGTTGCGCGTAAGCGTGCACATCACGCTTACCCTGTTTGAGCTTCAAGAGTTCAGTTCGAGCTCTGAACTCAGCTCTAGGCGGTTCAAACGTTTGTCTGAGCCGCGACTTGAAGACTTCCAACGACCCAAACGCATATGGGTCGTGCAACTTGAGCCCCAGTGCCCAAGTCTTGGCACGTCCTGCCAGATTCGACTGGGCAAATGCAACTTGCATTTCCCCGTCGTCGATGCGACGCGCCCTTATGGCGTCATCCAATTCGACGAACCATCTCAAGAGGGAGTCCTCTTCAACTCCCCTACACTTGGAGATGTCAATCTTCAAGGTCTCAAGTCGACGCGAGTGCATCGACTCACCAGCAGCAGCCTGCTGCTGTCTCAACAGATCAAACTGTTGAGCACCCTGTTCTCTCAACAACTCTGCTTGTTGAGAACCTTGTTGGTGAAGCAAGGCTACTTTTTCGCGTTCTGCGTCAAGTTCATTTTGAATGAACTTGGCGATAGTAGCATGTTGGGCATCTCTATTGAGAGCCTCTAGCATGACGCTAACAGCATGGATGCCCATGGTCGAACCCATTCGTTCAACCGCATCCCATTCGACATCGCTCAAATGGGAGTAGCCGTCACGCGTAGCGTGAAAGCTTTGGTCATCATCATCATCTAACATATTCATGTTAAATGTGAACGTGGTCCTTGAAAGACTGTGAAGTGCTACCAGGTGTAACGGGGCACCCTGAAGCTTGCACTGGTGACAGTACAAGCTACTTATTCTGATGACAGAATAAGGCGGTGCCTCGTAACTTCACGTACACTCGTACGTGCAGAGGAAGACGGTAAGAAGAAGCGAGTACTTGGTTAAATTAAAAAGTAGAACTGTATTTATAATAGTTAATGTCTGCAATAAATCCCTATTTGTCTTCATTTAACTATGTCTAAATACAAATGTGTAAATCATTTATCTGCTCACCACTCATTGCGTGCGTCTGTCGTGGCGCGTCTTCGTTGGTTGATATAATGGCCTATATCAACCAATTAGGAACTACTCGTAAGTGCTACAGAATATTCGTCCTTATGACAATATTCCGAGAATATAACTCTTACAGTTATATTCTATTAACAGTTTCTTATAAATTGTTATGTAACGATTCACCCCGTTACATCACCCCCCTTAACCATCAGTCACTTTAGTGACTGATTGACTAAATGGATACTCGTCCCAAATCAGTTGGGACGGGGTTTGCACTTGTTGGTCCGAGTCCACTTTCCAACATTTCATCGCATGGTAAACAAGCCCATGCGATGCGCGAGCAAGGCCGCCGAGAGCGCGTCTGCACGTCTCTGTGCGGACGCCGAAGCAGAAACAACAGCAACTGATGTCTCATCGGTTGCTGAAGCGACTCAGCCTGTGTCACTTGGTGATGCAGGCGCTGGTCATGAAGACACTCATGTCTTCACAGAGTACGAGCTCGGTGTCTCATACTCTCCTGATATGGAAGACGGATCCGTATCGACGGCGATTGAATCCAAGCCGCCTGCCAAGCGTGGCATGGATGATGCTATGCGTCGCAGCATCTTTAGTTCATCTGATGAATCAGATGAACCATCGCCGAAGCGTAGGCGCTCGAGGTCGCGAGACTCGGGCGCTAACAGTGGTGTCGGTTCTCCTATGGACACTACTTCGCAACGAGGTGCCAGTACTTCTGTCGGCACATCGCAGGAAGAGCGGGATCGCAATGTCTTGTGTCTCGCTCCCGAGAAGAAGGCATGGATGCCTCCAAAATCTGTCATGGATCACTTGTCGGCGACGACAAGTGATCGTTATCGAACACAATTGTTCGATTCGTCAAGGATCCATCACATTGACCCCAGCGCGAAGAACTATCGCGCTGAGAATGAATTCTTCATCGATGCTTTCTTTAGACATCGATGGTACAGTGGGAATCACAAGCG